ATACTGAGCAAAGCCTTGATTTAAATGACTGCATATGAAAAATACATTAAAGCAAATGCTCAGAGCAAAGACTCAGCATCAGAGCCGATCATATGGAGGGGGGAATGTCAGGAGCTGAGGACAATGTAGAGGAATTGGAGGATTTGGTCAGGGAAGACCACAAAAATTGAAAAATCTGTGAACAAACCATGTGTGACCTTTTGAACATCACGAAATGTATTTGCATTGAAGGAGCAGAAAGTATTCTCAACCAACCATAGCAAGAATGTCCCCAAGTTTAAGGAGAGAAACGCACATTCAGACAGATACAAGAGGATTGTAGAACACCAGATATACAGGGCAGAAAAAAAAAAACCTCCTGAAGTTACAGTTAAACTGTGAAAATTCAGGGCTAAATGTTCTGCAAACTGGCAGAGAACCAGCAGGAAGTGTAAAGATGGAGCCATCAGAATAACAACTGACTGACAACAGCAGATTCCTGAAAGCCAGGGGACTCAACTGCTCTGCCAGACACTGTGGATGGTTGTTTCTCATCTGGGATTTTATCTCCGTGGGGTACCACATAGACTCCAGAGCATCTGGGTATCCCAGCCTGCTGTCTTCCTCCAAGCTCGACTACTTCAGAAGACCAGCTAGGTCCACACAAGCAGGGAGAAGGAAGGGCTGCTGCCTCTCTGCTTTGGGATGCTCGTGGCACAGAAGATGGCACAGAAGGATGCTACTGTGCCTGCTCCCTGAGTGAAATCCCCAAGCCCCCCTGCCCTGGAGTCAGTGCTCCCCTCCTCATGTTATCACACATGTAGGGCTATTGGGCAAGCTGAAGTTAGAACCCTTCACTCACCTCAGCAGTGGTCTGAGGGCAGTGGCGCCTCTGGGAAAGCTCTCCTCTTAGGAGAAGTCTGTGCACTGCAGCAAGGGCAGTTCCCTCAGAACGCTCTAGAGCTGGAATTCAGACTCAGGATGTTCAGGAAGAAAAGCGGTGATGTGTGGAGTTTGAGTCCTGGAAAGAACTGCAAAGAGAAAGGTGGGACCCTTGTGATGGGCAGCGGGGTCTCCCCCAAGTTACTTCATCATTCCTAGTCTCCACCCACCATTGCTGTGTACAGTTTCTGGACTGGATAAGAGCTCTGTTCATGCAAATCACCTCCAGGAATAGGGCTGCACTCAGAGTTGCTTTCAGTTTCTATTCCTAGAAATGGCTGGTTTGCATGAAACACTTAGGAGGTCCGTTAGAGAAGGTCTCAGACGGGTCAAGCTGTTTTAGGTTGTCTTACTAAGTCTGTGGCATGCCCATGAGAGCACAGTTCATGGTAGAGAATCCGGGTCTGACCCTCTGGATTCCCCATTGGAGACTGCTAACTCAGGTGTGGGCACCTAGCCCTGGGCAAGCTACCCTTCTGCTGGGTGTCCCAGGTCCGTTAGAAATTTATGAGCCTGACTTCAGTCTAGGTTTTAATGAATTATAGACTTTTAATTAAAAAGACACCAGCCAGGAGCAAACCCGGATGTTCTCTAGGTAATGCCCTGACTATTGTTAGTCAGTGGAGTATAAAGGAAAAAACCTTCAAAGTTTTAATTTGAGGAGTCAAATAACACATATTCCTGTCTGGGTGTGAACAAATCTTTATCTTGTAACAGTTATCCTGCAGATGCTTCAGCCGTCCAAACAAGTGTTTCCTACAAAAGCAGAAAGTAGCAGTTAGCCTGTTTATTCTCTGACCATTACCTTGTAGGAACGAGGAGGAAGTGAAATGTCCAACGTTCGACGTTCTCTCTCTCTGTGTCTCTCTTTCTTTCTCTTTCTCTCCTTCCTTCCTTTCTTTTTTCTTTCCTTCTTTTCCCCCAAGAATATCCTGTTTGGGTTAAAGCCTCACTCAAGTCCCTGGCATTCATATACCCCAAGAGTCTGGAATGTTTGGGTTAAGGCTTCACCCCAGCCTCTGGCATACATGTATCTAAAGAGTCTGGAATGTTTGGGGAATAGTACCATCCCAAGCCCTCTCCCCTGGGAGTTGCCTCAGTCCAGACTCCCACCCCTAAGAAAGCCTGCCATATGATGGCCCCTCCCCAGAGATACTCAAGACCACACCCAAAGGGTATTTAAACTGCCCCCAGAGAACAAACACGTGGTTTTCTGGTCTTCCTTCCCCAGCTCCCCTCTGGGGTGCTGGAAAGTCATCTGGGAGTGTTGTTATCCATTAAACCTGGGCTTTCTCTGATTTGGTTTGATTTGGATTATTGCCTTGGCAGAGGGGCTTGTTGGGGTGCAGAAACTTTTCATAGCCTAACTGTTTGAGGAAGTGTTCTGTCTGGGGCTAGCTGACAGGGCACATTCAAGGCAAGAGCAACTTCCTCATGGTTTATACAAGCTAAGAACAATTTTGTTTTTACATGATTAAAATGGTAAATTGATCCTCTAAACACAATGTCCACCATCACACTTCAAACCACTGGAGTTGCCTGCTTCAGGTGCGGCTCTCCCTCGCCTGTGATGAGGGGTGGGACCACCCTTCCTGAGTGCAGGGGCCAGCTCTCCAGCAAGGGCTGGGACCAGCTCTATTGCTGTAGTGTTCATTGAGAGGTAGGGCTAGTTTCCCCAGGGCCAGTGAAGGGTAGGGTTGTCTCAGCATGGCCCTCTATTTTCATCATGCATGGTTCCTATGGCCCCCTGAGGTTACACAGGCCATGACGTCAACACAGACCCTGGTTGCATCTGGGCCTAGGACCCAGTCATGGCCCTTCGCAGCAAGCAGCCCAAGCCTGGACAACACCAGGGCCCTGGTTGGTAACACAGGCCACCTAACCAGCATGGATCCAGCAGTGATACAGCGCTTGGACACCTCCATGGCCATAGGTGGCAGCCCAGGCACGGGGCATCCTGTGGTGTTTGGTGGCAACATGGACCGTGGCTGCCCACACAGACCCTGGCTGTGGTAGTACCATGGACCCAGACATGGCCCTTGGCAGCAGCCCGGGCTCCGATGTCACCCTGGCCCCAGGAGGCAAGCAGGCCTCTCACATCAGCCTACTCCTCACCGCCTTCATTTCTTCTGTTCTCTGCCTCTTTCCACAGACCTGAACCATTCTGCTTCTCTTTCCTTCCCATTTCTCTACCACAAATTTGCTCATCATAATGGGACCCACTTGGCTAGTGCACAAGGCGCCAGGTGGGTGGTGGATGTCTTCGGCCAGCCCGGACCTTCAGGACCCTGACTGAATCTGGGGGTGGCTAGAACCCACCTGAGAATTGCATCAGGGAGGCCATGGATTTCTTACCGTCAGCCTGGGCCTTCCGTACTCATTTTTTTCAACTGAAGATTTTTGCAGCTATTTCCATCAATGATATTAGTTAATATTCTGACATTTTTACCTGAGTAGATCTTGTGTGGGTCTTAATAGAGTAACCACAGCGACCGTGAGCTCATATGTGCAACAGCCGTGCCAGGTCCAGGGGACATTTTTCACTCCTCCTCCTTATCCTCCAGCTCTTAGAGGTTTTCTTGCAGCTCTTCTGTGATCTTCCCTGAGCCTTAAAGATCAAAGGGATGATCAATGTAGGTGCTCCATCTATGGCAGACCTTCCTAATCACTTTTTCCTAGCACTTTGAAGAGTAAGAATCTCTGCAGTTACTACCACCCACTAAAATAAGAAGATCCTCTGCCTAAGACTGAGGGTGGCACACATCTGAAAATAAGAATATAGATATTTAGAAGGCAGTTTGGCTGCTTAGGAAAATAGTATGTCCTCCCTTTGGACCAATGAGCTCTCTAACCTCCTCCTCCTCCTTCTTCTTTTCAGTTTTTTGAGACAGGGTTTCTCTGTGGCTTTGGAGCCTGTCCTGGAACTAGCTCCTGTAGACCAGGCTGGCCTCAAACTCACAGAGATCTGCCTGCCTCTGCCTCCCAAGTGCTGGGATTAAAGGCATGTGCCACCACCACCCGGCTTCTTCTTCTTCTTCTTCTTCTTCTTCTTCTTCTTCTTCTTCTTCTTCTTCTTCTTCTTCTTCTTCTTCTTCTTCTTCTTCTTTTTTCTTTTAAAAAATCATGTTTTCAGTACCAGATGTAAATTCCTTCTGCAGAACAGGCCTCCAATCCAACGGAGAGCTGTTGGTTAACCCCATAGGCAATCTTGCCACCATTCCATCAGTGGGAGCGTTTGTCTGGTTGGCTGGATCGTCTGCAGGGTCTAGGCAACTCAGAAGAACACACCGTCCTATCTAAGACCTAGAGAATGAACCCAGGCGACAAGAGGCTGTAGTTGTGAAAAGATATGCTCACAGCATTGGGGGAGGGCTGGTGAGGATGAGGAACTTCTTCTGCTCTCTCCCCTCCTCCGTCAGCAATCTCTACATCTACAAGTCTCCAAATATCCAGGGAGCCCACACAGCTTTCCCCACAGCCCAGCAGTTGGACCCTTATATTTTTCTTCAAGTTCTACCATCCCCTCTGCTCCTCAGGGCCTTCCTACTCACTGAAGAAGGATCAAAGGGTGTACCCAGACTCCTCAAAGTTCCACCTCGTATAGTACTATGAGCTCCCCAGAAACACCCCATTCTTTCATTGTGTGATCTCATCCCTGATCTTGAGTTGTCTTGATGGCTCTGGACTCTGTAAGACCCCGCACTCATGTGTGCCCTTGGGTTGAAGTGAGGGTGGTCAGTCATAGCGCTCCTGAGAAGACCGACAATGAGGCAGGGCAACGTGTTTCCCTCATTTATTGGTGTTTTTGGAAACTTCCCAGCGTTCATCCTTGTCCCCAGGACTCCCTTGGCTTCAGAGAGTTCATTCCTCAGGTGTCTTGGCCAAGGGACCCCCTCACATGCCTCTAGGGAACTGCCTTCCTGTCCCAGAATCTTCCAGCTTTCCTTCCATCTTGAAGCCATAAACTGTCCATTTTCTCTTTCCCGGAACTGTTTATGCTGCCCAGAATGCACACAGGGAGGTTAAGTTTCACTTCTGTTTCCTGCTAATGCCTGCCCTCCAGCCAGCTCCGCCTCTCGACAGAGACAGCTGCAGAACCCTCCTCTCTGTACACTGGGCTCCTTGCTCCAGACTCCACAGAGGCTCCCCCTCCCACCTCTGCTCTCCTTGATACTTTCCTCAAGGAGGGCAGCTCTGTGCAGCTTTTGGCGACTGTGCTGTGGGCTGCAGTGAGCAGCAGACTCAGTGCTTTCTATTTTCGTGGAAACTTTGGCCCTGGTTATTTACAGCAGAAACTCTTTGGAGCTGGTGAGTGAGAAAAGCCTTTGCCTCGGTGGTGACCTGGGTGTCAGCTCTGTGGGCTGAGGGCAGAGCTGGCTTGGCTAAGCAACAAGTCATGTCATCATCTTTATCCAGAAGGGAGTCATGGGTCTGGAGCTGCTGTTTGGTGCTGGTGGTGCTGTGGAGTTGTGGAAAAACTTTGGACCGAGCAGAATAGTTATGGGTGACTCTCCCGGAATCCATGAAGTTCTCACTGTGAAACGGCTGCCTGTTCTGAGTCTAGTGTTCCACTGCCAGGCAGCTATTGTCACAACTCTGTGAGGTTTCCATAGTTAGCAAAACTCTAAGTAATGTGTCAACATCTGCTCCTGTTTGCTGAGGTCTGACGATGCCCACCCTGCTCCGTAAGAGGACGTCCTTTCCATTTTCACACTCAGAGAACACACCTGAGAGCAAACGTGTCTGATGTTTAAGATGCTCACAGACCTCTCTCGTTCTAGCACTCACCTTGTATCATTAGTAATCAGAGATAAAGCAATTCTTCTTCCTGTTCCTGCTCTTCCTCCTCCTGGCTTTTGTCCTCCCATTCTTTCTCTTTGTGTCCTCCTCCTTCTTTGTGCTGGGATTGAACCTTGGGCTTCCCACACACTAGGGAGGAGCCCTACGGCTAAGCTACATTCCCAGCCCTTTTACTTTTTATATCTTTGATTAAAATAATGTACACATGTGTGTATTTCTTGTGTGTGTGTGTGTGTGTGTGTGTGTGTGTGTGTGTGTGTGGTGTGGTCACACAAGTGCTATGGCACATCTGTAGTGGTCAGAGAACAATTTGGGGGCAACAGATTTGCTTTCTCCCTTATGCGGACTGGGTTGCTCTTGTATCTGTGGCTGCGCTGTGTACTCTAGGTAGCTGGCCGGTGACCTTCATGCTCTCTTCTCCTGTGGCTCTTATCTGAGTGCAGAGGTTACCGAGTGAATCATCATATCTGACCTTTTATGTGGGCTCCAGAGATTAAAGGTGGCCAGGCTCGCACGACAAGTGTTTGTTTTTTCACCCACTGACCCATCTTCCTGCCTTGTTTTAATTTCCATTACCACTAAAATGGTTGTATTTTTGTCACTGACAGCTATGCTATGACAATTGTGTCATTGTTTCTTTTTAAAACATTACTTACGTATGCACTAAAATAGGTTTACAGTAAAGAAATTTTATATTAAAATTTTCTGTAAACAAGATCCTTTCTTAATGTATTTCCCTACACTGTTTCGGATCTAAATAATCTAGAAACCTATAAAACAGTCAACTGAGTCCGTATACATTTTGTAGAGAAGGCATGTGCTTGGGTTTTAGAAAGAAGGTGTGGAGGCTGCACTGTTTGTCATCAATTAGATGCTGCTCACAAACTGCTGTCTCCCAGAATGGTCTGCTGAGAGTGAGTGACCCTGTGCACTTACCACGGTGCTTAGCCAAAGCTGATGTTTGTTTAAAGACAGCAGAGAAGGTGACTATTTAAATAGTCACCTTGCAGAGAACCCGGATTGCTCTTTGGGCTGACGAAGGAGGGGGACTTGATTGGGGGAGGGGAAGGGAAAGGGGAGGCGGCGGTGGGGGAAAGACAGAAATCTTTAATAAATAAAAAAAGATTTATTCATTTTTGTTTTCTGTGTTTAAGTGTTTTGCCTGAGCACATGTGTGTGCACCATGTGTGTGCCTGGTGCCTTCTGAAAAGGTCATTGAACCCCTGGAACTAGAGTTACAGACTGTGGGTGCTGGGACCTAATCTGGGCCCTTTGGAGGAGCAGCGAGTGCTCTCAATGGCTTGTCCAACTCTCCAGACCCCTCTACTGCCATTTAATTGGTGTCAAATAAAACAAAATTTAAGAAGCAATAAAACAGATTAAAACTGCATTAGTCTTGCCAAAAAAAAAAAAAAAAAAAAGCCCACTGGGTTTCTGTTACAGGAACAGAGCTGAACCAATAGTATTCTGGATTTTTCAGAATTTATTTTTAAAAACCACTTTGGTGACTTATGGCTTACGGATAGAAATAAGCACACTAGGATTTCAGAGAGGCGCACTTAAAATCCCTGATGCACACAAATGAAGTTTTTGTTTATTGAACTGGAAATTTTTACTTCTTGAGAAAATATGGTATATCGTTTATAGTATATTTATTTAGTGATTACATAGCCTTTCAAGATTCATTAGGTGAAAGAAAGAAAGAAAGAAAGAAAGAAAGAAAGAAAGAAAGAAAGAAACTAGTGTCTTCAAGATAAAAAAAGGACTGAGCACCCATGAGCTCTCAGAGACTATGGCAGCAGGTACCTGGCCTGCACAGGTCCCAGCCAGTCGAGCTCCCAGCCCTGAGGTGGGGAAGCAAACGTGAGCTCCTGTTCCCAACCAAGAAGCTCTCTGCAATTAACAACCACTCACAAAGGAAAAATTCATTTCTCCAAGGGATCTCACTGGTTATACAAACCATTTTAAGTTTAAGGGCAGGCCCCATGCCCAGCAATAGATGGCCAACACAAAATGAATTTAAAGGTTTATTTATTTTGGAAGATTTTTTTTTAAAATCACATATTGCTTTATTTGTTTTTTTTTCCTGTTTAAACCTTTCTGGTTTCCTAGTTGTATATTATCGTTTACAATTTTAAGTTTTTATGATATGTGTGTGCATTTCTCATTCTCTTTCTTAGTTTCTTTTTCTTTTCTGCCAAATCTGCTGCCATAACTAGTAGGTTCTGCTAACTTCAGGCACGGCAGAGGTGCACATCTGGCAGAATTGCTGTCGCTATGAATGAGGAACACATAACACAACAGCAAAGCAAGGGGCCAGTGAGAGCTCAGTGGTGAAACCCACGGGGGCACATCTCTTCGTTCTCTCTGCTGTCCACGTCCACTGGAGACACATCTCTTTGTTCTCTCTGCCATCCACTCCCACTGGAGACACATCTCTTAGTTCTCTCTGCCGTCCACTGACTCAGACAGCTACAGTGTCATTAATTCCCTCAAGAAGGAAACACCTTCCACACTGCTGCATGAAGTAATTTCACTGCACATCCTAGACAGCAATGAAACCTTCAACTTCTCATGTATAGCTAGGCTGTCTCAGTGGGACGTCTTTGGAAGGCCAGCTTCTCCTGCTTCCCCAGCTTCTGGGTCCGTTCGTTGTTCATAAAGTTGTACGTAGAGTTCATGTATGTAAGCCAGTGTGCAAAATCTGGACTCCCTCACCTTATTTAGATTTTCCTCAGTGGTGGTGGCCATGGCGAGGCCACTTCTCCCCAAGAAGCAGTCCCAGAGAGGCAGGAGAAGGACCTGGCGAGGCCTTCCTTTGTCCTGGGCAAAGGTATGGCTTGTTTACATCAGGCAGGCGCCTGCCTGCAGCCTCAGGATGGCTTGATTTATGTGTTTTAAATTTTGCTGGAGTCTTCCTGATTTGCTCAAGCTGCTCACAAAATCACTTTGGGGGCCCAGGTGCGCCTTGAATTAGCCACCCTCCTGCCCCAGCCTCCTGACTAGTCAGGATTATAGGCTACGGTAAAATTAATATGTTCATTTTATTTTGTTTTGTTTGAGAGTTGAAAGTCTTTCTTCTTCTGAACAGTGTTTCGGAAGGATCTGCATGAAGCAGGAGACATTTGATCTCTGTTAGATACAGAGGGCCTAGGTCAGTCCTATGTCGACTCTCTAGTTTTCCATCCAGAGTCCCTGAGCTCCCACAAGCTCAGGTCAGCTGTCTCTGTGGGTTTCCCCTTCATGATCTAGACCATATGAGCAGTTTTTAAGGGGCAATTGAAACAACAGAAATTTATTCTCTCCTAGTTTTGGAAGCCAAGAATCAAAAAAAAAAAAATAGTTCAAATTAAATGCGCAGTTGAGAACATCTAGATAATGCAAAGTATTGACTCCCATCTGAAAACTGTCAATTACAGTGGCCAACTCACTTTAGCTGTGTAAATTACATAGTCACAGATTCTGGGAGTTATGATGTGGACATCTTCAGGATCAAGTTTCTGACACTGCAAAGATGGCCACCCTCTCCTGAAGCTGAAACACAGAAACCAACAAGGCAGAACATAGGTGTTCCTTCTCCAGGGGTGACAACTAAACCGGCCAGGAATATAAAGGAGTCACAGTGCCGGGGATCAGTCTGAGAGGAGGGGAGTGGCCCCCAGGGCCAGCGTGTCTTGGGCGGGTGGGTGTCTGTGTTGCCACTCCACTCTCCTGACCTCCCTCTCTGGTTTTTTTCCTTTCTCCCAGATCTTCTGCGGCAGTGGTCATGGATGACTTCATCTCAGCCTTCCTAAAGAATGCTTCTGGAAAGAATTTCCAAAAACTGGCCGTGGAATTCCTGCCTCATTACTCTGCATTAACCAGTAAGGTAGGAGGCATGCTCTCTCCAGAAACTATTGGCTGTATTCAAAAGGCCCTCCTGGAGGGAAAACTGAGTGATTTGGTAGGCCAGATTCAGGAAGTACTGGCTGCTGCAGAAAAGGCTTCCTTGGCGATAGCTGTCATTGGGGAGTCTGGGGCTGGCAAGTCCAGCTTCATAAATGCCCTTCGAGGGCTGAGCCACGAAGCAGAGGAGTCAGCTGCTGTTGGGACTGTGGAGACCACGATGCACAGAACCCCCTATCAACATCCGAAATATCCCCAAGTGACCTTCTGGGACCTGCCTGGGACCGGGACTCCCAAGTTCCTTCCAGAAACTTATCTAGAAAAAGTGGAATTTGCTAGCTATGACTTCTTCATCATCATTTCTTCCTCTCGGTTCAGCGTCAATGATGCTCTCCTGGCCCAGAAAATCAAGGATGTGGGGAAGAAATTCTACTTTGTTAGAACCAAAGTGGACAGTGACTTATATAACGAAGAGAAAACCAAACCTACAACCTTCAAAAAGGAGAAGGTCCTCCAGCAGATCCGAGACTACTGTCTGGCTAATCTCAGCGACATTGGAGTGTCTGAACCACGCATCTTCTTGATCTCCAACTTTGATCTGGCTGACTTCGATTTCCCAAAGCTGGAGGAAACTTTACTGATGGAACTCCCCGGGCACAAGCGCCATACATTCGCTCTGCTGTTGCCCAATATCTCTGATGCTTCCATTGAGATAAAGAGGAATTTTCTCAAGGAGAAGATCTGGCTGGAGGCCTTGAAGTCATCAGCTCTGTCTTTCATCCCCTTCGTGACCTTCTTGAGTGGCTTCGATTTGCCTGAACAGGAACAGTGCTTGAAGGATTATCGATCGTATTTTGGCTTAGATGACAAATCAGTTGAAGAGATTGCTGCACAGCTGGGCACATCTGTGGAAGCCATCAGGGGCTCCCTCAAGTGCTTGGATTTCTGGTCCCTTGTAAAGGATGACAGCATAGCAGCAAAAATCATGAAGTGTGCTGAGTCTTTTTATGCCGTGGAAGGAGGTCCTGGCTCTTCTGTCTTCCAGGGTTTGAAAGTCTACATTCTACGGTTAAAATTCCTTGACACAGTGGCTGATGATGCTAAGTGTCTCTTGAAAATGATATGAACAGGAAATATTGCCTAGCTAAACGGTACATGGATTTCAGGGCTTGTGTGTCCAAGCTGGGAATGGGGGTGTCTTTCCTCCAAACTCCCAGGCCGGCTCTTCCCTAAGATGTCTGTCTAGTGAAGGAAGTCCATTGCTATCCTTTGGAAATCACTGTCATGCGTGAGTTGTTTTGTGACCATAGCCTCTTTTCTTGGTCCATGGTTTATTATGTTTGATCTCCAGCAGTAACACATCACCTGCTTTTAATTATTCTCTGTACTAAGACAGAATCTGTTTCTGACCCATTTATACAAAAAAAATAAATAAATAAAAGAGAGAACAAAAGCAGAAAGAGAGCTCACAAAACAAAACAAAAAGCAGTTTGTAATAACAAGATGAGGAGTATGTATTACCACTTCCCAATTCTTTCTCAGTTATCTCAACGCCCTGCTCTCCAGCATAAGGATGCTCACCAATATGAGAACACCACCAACGGCATTGCAAAATGTTCGCCGTGGGCAAATGCAGCATGGCCAGGAGGTGGTGACAAGATAAAGCAGTGACGCAGGAGATGAAGGGACACTAGCCCACTTGAGTGTGTGCGTGTGGCTCTGACAGACACTGTCCTTCTCTCCCATTCCCTCTGCCTTGCTAAAAGTCATTAGATTACATTCCTAAAGTTAGCCACCAAGGCCTGTTCCTTTATTCGTTCACTTCCTCCTCCGGAGGCTGTCTACCAGGGTCCAGGTAGCAAAGTATTGAAGTCCAGCAATCAAGAGCCCCCTTTGACTCGCCTAATTAACATGCCCAATTAAAATTAAACACCTTGTTGTAACACAGGGTTTCCCATTTCACTTTTAGAAACCACCATTTGCCTACATGCAGCATCTGTCTCTTCTCTATCCTGAGGCAGTTTTTGTCCCTCTGGGACAGTTTCTCTTTCCCCTTCTCTTTGTCCCCTTCTCCTTCTTCCTTGTCCCCTATCTCCCTTACGGCAGCATCCTAGACCATTCTAACACAGGCCTCCCCTTTCTCTACTCTTAAAAATCACATCTGCAAGGTCATTTTTTGCTGTTTTTCTGCCTGAGTCAGAAAGAATCTACTTTTACCGCCCCCATTAATAAAGGATCTCTTTGTGAAAATGGGTGTTTGTGTCTAATGTGGGGTCCAGGAGGAAGCCCCTGCTCTATGGTCAGGGTGGGTTGGGGTGTCTCCTTCAGGAGAAGACCCAGGAAAGGACATGACCTGTAAGAGATCAGGGGGGCAAACACTGGGTGTGTCTATAGCTAGGAACACTGCACACTAATGTGAGGACAGGTTTGGCTAGTTGCAGGAACCGCGGAAATCTGATGCAGACTAAGGAATGCAGAGTCGGGATGGACAGAGTGTGGAGAGGACACTGGAGTCGCTTCAAAGGACGCCTTGTTAGGAGTGGTCGGGAGGGAGTGATGAGAACCGAAGTGTCGGCTTTGGGAATAAACATGGAATAGGAAGTAGCAGCAACGGCGGCAGTGGAGAGGCTGGGAGGAAGGATTGTGTGGGCCACCCCTGTGTGACTGGGAGGGCAGCATCACCCCTACCCGACATGGAGAGGAGTGACAGGAGCTGACGGGAGGAGAGGGGTCTGGGGCTCAGCTGCCTTCACACAGTTGGGATCTTCCTAGACATAAACACCAGAAGAAGGTGCTGTGTAGGTAATATGATAATGGAGGTAGGCAGAATCCTGGGTGATCTAGGATGGGTTGAGATAACCAAATGGGTGGGTGGACACACCTGGATGGAAATCTGGACACCCCACAGACACCCCAACTTTCAGGTCTCACTGTGGAGAGATTGTATTGGACTTACCTACTTTTGGTTTTTGCTTTATTTTTAAAGTTTGTAATTCATTGATTTTCTTATCTTTCTTTCTTTGCTTTTTGGGATGAAGTGTCTTCTCAAATGCCAGAGTCTTTCCTTCATGACTTAAGGCTCAAACTACAGGTTCACTAACAAACCCATCTGGAGGCTGAAGTTTTGGTGTTAAGTATAGCAGAACCTTGACTAGGACCCATCCTTTCTTCTGAATCTGCAGTCATCACCCAGACACAGAGAAAGCAAGATGAGACTGCCTTGCTGATAAAAGGTACCAAACCACATGGCTAACACAGACAAGAATTATGGGTTAATGTAGGTTGTAAGAGTTAATAAGAAGCCTGAGTGACTAGGTCAACCAGTTTATAATTAATGTAGATCTCTCTGTGTTTTTTGGGGGCTGAATGACTGCAGGAATCCTACATCACCTCTGTATGCTGCAATTATTACCATTGATTAACAATGAAGCTGTTTTGGCCTATGACAGGGAAGAATAGAGCCAGGCAGGAAAACTAAACTGAATGCAGAGAGAAAGAAGGCAGAGTCAGGATGACGCCATATAGCTGCTGAAGGAGAAGGGTGCCGGAACCTTCCTGGTAGGCCACAGCCTCAAAGTGATACACAGATTAATAATAATGGGTTAATTTAAGATATAAGAGCTAGCTAGGAATATACCTAAACCATTGGCCAAGCAGTGCTGTAATTACTATAGTTTCTGTGTGATTATTTGGGTCTGGGTGGCTGGGAACTGTAAGAATAGACTCTGTTCACATGCCATCTTTGCAATCAGAAACTGTCAATAACTGTACCTAATTAGTAACTACAACCAGTCACTGTCATTCCCCAAGGCAGCAATGTGGGGAGGAGATGATGGTTGGCTAAGGACTGGCTGTGAACAGTGACTTTGGTCTCAAGAGTCCCAGAATGTGGAAGGGTTTAGAAACTTTGGCTAAGCCCCCATTTGGAACAAAGGGCAAATCAAGGTCAACAAGGAACTACCAGGGAGACAATGCCCACCCCTTCACTTCCACACTGAAAAAACGAGTAGAGTTAATGGCTGCAACCCTCCTGCCTTGACTCTGCAGGGCCTCAGAGGTCTCCCTGTCGTGATTATGGAGAAAGACAGGAGGAGACCTGGCTCTGGGTCAGATGCCAAGGATCTGGGTCTGATCCTGGGTGTAGTGAATGAGTTCCTCAAGACTCTATCAAGGATGAAGCTCCCACTAGTGAACTTAGAGACCCAGGAAACACCTTGTAACAGCCTTCCTGAGGGATGCTCCCTCACTTCCAGGGGCAGCTCAAGGAGCCTCCAAAGGCACAAACACATGCATATACTACTCATAATCACAATTCACTTTTAATTAATAGAAGAAAAGGAAGATTAAGAGGGTGCCATGTGATGTATCAATGCATATGCATGTTATCTTATGCCTAAATCGGCTTAAACATATCTAGTTTCTCAGATGTTTATCATCTCCTTATAGAAACATCATTCCAGCCCCTCCCCCTTTTGAGCTATTGAGCATATAGTGTAGAACTGCTGTCCATATACTGGACAATCATTGAGAAGATTCAAAAGTATTTATTCAGAGTTTTTACTTGGTACTGTCTCTTCAGATTTTTACTAAGATGATATCATTTTGATAATGTTTATTTCTAGGAGTTTTACTCTTCTGTCTATGTTGGTTCATGCATTGAGGCAAAGTCTTCCACAGATCTTTATAATTCTTTTATTTGTACAGACTCAGCAATGCCCACCTTCCATTTCTGATTTCAGTCATGTATGCTCAGTCTAGCTGGACTTTAACTAATTATTTGTAAATTATATTAATTGTTCCCCCCCTAGAATTAACTTTGGCTAGTTTTTGCCAATCTTTCTATCTTTTCAGATCTTTATCTCCTCACTTCCTCTTAAATTTAATTTACTTTTCTGTTTTGAGTTTCTTTATATAGGTGAAATTGGTTGTTGGTTTGAGACCTTTTAAAACATCATAGCTGGGCTAGAGTGATGGTTCCGAGGTTAAGAGCACTGACTGCTCTTCCAGAGGTCCTAAGTTTAATTGCTAGCAACCACATGGTGGCCCACAACCATCTGTAATGAGATCTGCTGCCCTCTTCTGGCTTGCAGGCAGACATGCCAGAACACTGTATACTTAGTAAATAAATTAAACTTAAAAACCAAAACCATGGCCCTATCCTATAGCCATATTGATGAATATCTTGCATATCACCATAGAACCTTCATCTGGTGATGAATGGAGATAGAGACAGAGACCCACATTGGAGCACCGGAATGAGCTCCCAAGGTCCAAATGAGGAGCAGAAGGAGGGAGAACATGAGCAAGGAAGTCAGGACTGCGAGGGGTGCACCCACCCACTGAGACAGTGGGGCTGATCTATTGGGAGCTCACCAAGGCCAGCTGGACTGGGACTGAAAAAGCATGGGATAAAACCAGACTCTCTGAACATGGCAGACCATGAGGGCTGAGATGAGAAGCCAAGGACAATGGCACTGAGTTTTGATCCTACTTCATGTTCTGGCTTGGTGGGAGCCTAGCCAGTTTGGATGCTCACCTTCCTAGACCTGGATGGAGGGGAGAGGAACTTGGACTTTCCACAGGGCAGGGAACCCTGACTGCTCTTCGGACTGGAGAGGGAGGGGGAGAGGAGTGGGAGGAGGGGGAGGGAAATGGGAGGCTGGGAGGAGGTAGAAATTTTTTTTCAATAAGAAAGAAAGAAAGAAAGAAAGAAAGAAAGAAAGAAAGAAAGAAAGAAAAAAACAAAAGCAAAAAATCATCACGACTCTTTACCAAGTCCACTCTGTCTGGTATTGTTAATACAGGTATTTAAAGCTACGCATTTACATCAGGTGGACTTCAGTTGTGGCCTGTGCATTTTGATTTTATGTAACATCTTCATTCCGTTCCAGCTTCCTTTTTGACCTGCGGAAATAAAGAAAATCAAAGGTGAAAGCAAATACGAACTATTTCTCAGAACTTGCTATATAGCAAGGAAGTGGGCCAGCTGGTGTTTAACATTAGCATAGAGTAGGTAGGTGGGTTAGTGGGAATGATCTGTAATAGAAGAGAGAGGCCTCAGGGTGTTGGCTTTGGGAGGTTTCTGGGAGATCCGTTCAAATGGTTTCATGTGTTTCATTTCAGGTGTTGTGTTCAAGGGTACAAATAATGGTGGACAGACCACCAAAGTCTGAAACAGAAGCAAACTTTATTCCTCACCCTCACCCCCAAAAACAAATCATTGGAGGGCACAAAAAGCTTATCATCTAGCTGAGACCGTGGACCACAGCCAGAGTTGAGGCTTCTGAAACTGTGGCAAAGGGGCCAGGTTTCCGAGCTTCCCTTTTAGAGTAAGTAAGAGGTAAGCATTAGGTGTGGACAAAAGAACTTTTACAGTCTCAAGGTAAAACTTAGATACATATTGACTTTTACAGTTCCTGCTAACAAGGTCTTTGACTAAAT